TCGACTATGATTGGTCAATTCTTATTTTCTGACTTATGATTTATTACTAATAGCTTATTGTAGGAAACCTATTATAGAATGACTCTAATGATATCATACTTTAAATTATGTTGTTACATATGATACGTCTCCGTTTCATTAGAATAATGAACGATGCAAATAATTACGTATAAGATTATATTATGTTCGTCTCTTAGTCAGCAATAATATTGAAACTTATGAAATCATATATTTTCAAAATACACATGATTTTTAAACTTTAAACTAAAAATAGAATGTTACAGATAACAAAAAAGCTAATAATGAAAATGGAAAGCTAATAATGATCTTCTATCTAAATATATTATAATCCAGTATGAATTTAAATGTATATATTTGTATAAATGTATATATTTAAATTAGAGTAATACAGTTTCGAGGTTAAGTTCGATACATTTTGTCTTAAAGATGTAATACATCCTTGATAAATTAAATAAAACAAATTTCCTTGCTCAATAAATCGTTGACATCGCGAAATATATAGACTTATAACTTACATAACTTAATTTATAGATGCAAGATTGTTATCAGTATTATTCTTTTTTTGTATTTTCGAAATATATAGTATTAAAACGGTCTCGTTTTCTCGCGCCGAGAGCGGTCAGTCGGTTGCCAGGAGGGGAAGCGAGGACGTTGGAGACAGAAAGTTGTTATTAAGTTGTTAGGCGATAATTATAACAAATAACGATGCTTTATTCAATTAACAGTGGTGCGATGGAATGCACCGAATCTTCGCGTCAATGTTCGTGGCCGTGGACGAGCGAGACGGCGATCGGCGCGCGGATAGCGTGGATACAAAATGAGATATCGCTCTGGCGGTCGGCGCGATACTGCTCGCGGCGCGCAGTTCAGTGGCGCGGGGCGCGCGCGGCGGCGGCGGTGTCGCACGTGTTCGTCGCGGACCTTTAAATCGGCGTTGATTGAAACGTGCACGCGTGTCGCGGGTGTTGTCGCGAGGGTGGATATTCGCGAGGTCGTCAGATCGTTTAGATCGAAGAACGGGTGTGCTCGTTCCCTGCCGAGAGGGCTCGGCTGACGGGAGGTGCGCCCCTTGTCTGTCTGCGTGAATGCCGAGTGAACTCGGCCAGCCGGGAAGGCCCCAGCTGTGTGCGGAGAAGAAAGCCGAGTGTACTCGGCCGACCAAGGTGTACCCTGGTGCTCGGAGAGGTGGTATCGGGGAGGACCCCGATGCCCGGCGGAGAAATCTCGGAAACGGCGGAGTCGGATCGAGCGAACTCGACGCGCTGGGAAGACCCTAGCAACTCTCGGCTTGCCGTGCGAGATACGGAGACGGCTTTCGGCCAGGCCAAGCGAACTTGGCGCGTTGAGGAGGGCCCCAACAAAACTCAGGCTTGCTATCGGTTTCGGATGCTCGCTTCCTTGAGACGGGCTCTCGGGAAACGAGCTAGGAACAGGAGTCAACGAGAAGTGATTTCCTGTGGAGAGCGATGCCTTTTTATACCCGACATCGACCTCGATATTTTCGGTCGGATCGGTCGGATTGATCGATCTCGGGATTAGCATCCCTCTCCCCAGGAGCGGAAAAAAGGATCGGGTATAATTGGTTTTTTGGGGATTAGACGGAATAGGAGCGGGGGATGATTAAAGGTAGGGAAGGAATTCGGTGGGAAGATAACGGCGCGGTGCGGGGGTGGTTACGCGCTTGTGGACACGGTCGTGGTGCGGGATGCTCGCTCGGTTGCGTGGCGCGGCGTCGGTGCGGCGCAGGACGCGTTCACGCTCGGTGGTACGGTGCGTGGCGCGGTACGGAGTGCGTTAGCGCTTGTTGGCGCGACACGTGGCGCGATGAAATACCACGAAAACATGTATGTTTTCATGGTATTCTCCGACGCTTCGGAGTTCGCGTATTGTGACTTTTAAAAAGGAGGCATTACTGCCTCTTGCGGCCACTGCCGCACTCCGCCTGGTGTTCGGCGGTCCCCGACGGATGGACGCGTCACAAATTATTATACTACATAACAATATTAATTCATGTTATTAATATTATTTCTTTTATTATTTCTTTATGAAAAAGCAAAATGTAGAAAAATTTTGTTTTTTTGACGAATAACTATATAGGTCTGTAAAATGCCTTTTTGTGAACATATTAATCTAATAAAAGACCATTTTCGGGACATACAAGAAATTTTCATAATTCTTTTAAATTTTAATTTACATAAACATATATCTAATGCTTTACTACTTATACATATTATATCTATATCATATTATCATATTATATCTATATCATATTATATATCTAATTGAGATAGCTAGTAAAAATAATTTTTTTACTTGTGTACATGGAAAATTTTATTAGTCCTAAGAACTGCCACATGATATATTATTGTCCATATTTTGAGAAATAACTATCGTATTCAAATTTTTTTGGTGGCTTTGTTATCTGCGTAAAACGTATTCAATATCTATACAATAAAATTAGGATGTTCGGAAAAGTCCTGAAAATCTCCTTTTCATATACATATACATATATATATATATATATATATATCATGTTAAGTATTATATTTTCACATATTATAGTATAGTATAGTATAGTATAGGTATAGGTTAATGGTTTTTACTTTTTTACTGTTTCTTACATCTTTACTATTTCTATTCATTTTATATTACGTAAAAATAAATATTTCT